TAATGACAAGAATAATCAGAATAAATAAACTCTGAAAATTTCAAGCTTGGTCGAGCTCTTGTCCAGAGGAATACCTAGTCGGGACGTGCCCAATCTTTTTTTTTTTTTTTTTTTTTTTTGGCTTTTTTTTTTTTTTTTTTTTGCTAGGTCTTACCGCGGACGTGGCACCGCCTACCATCCTTGTTTGTCACTTTTCCCCGGTATACCCCCACTGTCCCAGTCCTTCATGAGTGAGTACCAGTCTGGACCAATTATACCCTTCCCTCATCTTTCATCATCTTGGCGAGAGATGACCTGAAACGAACACGGGTTGTACGCAGCAGCGCTTAGCAAGATACTTCATTCAGCCCTAACCCGTCTTCCCCCGAATATAACGCACGGTCAACTACAACCGTATTCGGCCCACCTTTAAGTCCAGATGCAGCAGAAATGACCGTACGTTCTATTCGGGGGAAGAGAGAAGGTAGTTGAAGGATAGTCGGGCGAGCCCCTGTTGTATAATACAACCATAGGCATGACCGATCTCTCTATGCAAGCGCCGTGATGACCGCCAATGGCTAAGTACCCGGGTCCCTTTATACGTATATGTCTAAACGCTCTCCCCAATCTCCCACAGACACTGTGAATCTTTTTTTTATTTTTTATTTTTACATGAAGACATAAGACAGACACTGTGAATCTAATATGTCTATAATAGGAATTTAAGTGATATATTTAGAGTAATTTCATATATTTTAGTTGTATACATACAACTAAAAAATCCCCAAGGCCTTCTGCTACTAACCTATGACAGCCCCTGGGCTACCTGGGTACAACTCTCTAGCACAGTCGTTATTTTGTTGGTTGGTACTATATTTGTTTCTGTTCCTGTCGCGATTGTTGGTGTATGTACATCGTCAAAGCCTACAGTTTTCCCGCTCATCAACGAGGGGGGTCGTTTCTGGATTCTGTCATCGAGGGGGGGGGTACCATCAGGGCCCATGCCTCCATCCTCAACTAGATCCCCCCCCAATGTAGTTTTTCTGTGATTAGGGGTACCCATCAGGCCCCATGTATTTGTCCTGGAACTCAGATCCCCCCCCCCCTCCTCAAATCTGAGTGATTAATTGACACCTCAGCTTTTTTTATATTTATTTATATATATTTTTATGCGTGTTATCCTTGCGCAGAGGCAGTTCTTCACGTGCTACAGTTTCTATGATCAAACGACGACCTATTTTTGTACACGTCTTCCCTCCAAAAATAGAACGTGCGATCATTATAGTCGTATGTGGCTCACCTTTTAGTCCAGATGCAGCAGAAATGACCGTGGGCGTTCTATTCAGCGGAAGAAGGGTAGGTTCTGTCATGGGCGGGTACACTCTGCCGCCATGCCTCTGTCCTCAACTAACATAGTTACTCACATGGCCATCCAACGACGATGGAGGGAAATGCAAGGGCGGGAGCAATTGTCTCCTCCTCAACCCTTTTTTTTAATGGCACTTTCCCTTCTTTTATCCGTTGAGGATTTAGGGAGATATGCTTCCGCTACGGCCGTTCTATAGTGGGCCGACTCTCGGACGTGGCTGCCTGTACACGTGGGTCGTTCTGTAATGACTATATAGCACGTGGCTGCCTGTCCACGTGGCGGGAAAAGTACTTCCTATTCATCTTCGCGATAGCAGTTTGTGAGTCGTCGGCGATGTGTGCGCGTGGGGCGTGGATAGTCGGAGAATCCGACTAGTGCCGAGG